CCCCCCCCACATCTCACAGACTTTCTTCTTCAGGCTCACTTCAATTCAAACCTGAACCTCACATCTCTGTCTCTAGTAGCTAGGATTACTAGTAAGAGCCACTGGCACCCAGTTTTTTCCTCATATTTTTACCAGCATAATTTTCTTACGAACACTGATGAACAGCAATTAGCATTAAATCTATGCTACCAGAAAGACTAATATGTATAAGATCTTCTGAGACTTGAAAAGTAAGACAATATATATTAGCAGTGTTCCTGCCTTGCCTTTAAGTTAAATTCTTTTCCTGCTACATTCACCTTACCCCTTTCCTTCTTTTTCTCTGCTGTCTTGGCAAAGGACTGTATTACTGGTGGAACCAAGTTCCTTCTCAACATTACCAGAGATAAGATACTCTAAGCTATGGGACTTAATATTATAATGGTACATATTTTCTTGAAGGATACCTAATATTATTTCCCTTTTGCTCAAAAATGTTTCCATTCCTTGAAAGTATAATATTTATTGTAAGTTTATTATTTGAGACTTAAGTTTAACAACTGGTGAAGTGACCTCATCATGCCACAATCCTTCATACAAGTGTATGTTCTCACCCCACATCTTGTTGCTTTGCTGGTAAGACCTCCAATTCTGGAAACTTCTTTCAGTAGACACAGCAGTATTCTTTGTCTTACCCTTATAAAACTACCAAGAAGGTAGCAATTTGTTTTAGCAGAATGACTTTTCACTGAGGGAATAGCTATATAGGCACCTTGTTGAGCAGATCCCCTTGTGATTTCAGCTGCCTTGTTTTCGTTTTTTTCTTTTTCTTTTTTTTTTCTTTTAAACTAGGAAAGCATTGGTCTGACTTCAAGGAGGCAATCTATTACCTGAGATGGGCCTTTAGTACTGGGCCTGCGGGTGGACCTGGCTTCTTCCGTGTCTCCAATACTGAGTTCAGTTTTCACTGTATGATGGGTGTCATTCAGCCGCATCATCATGAAGCAAACCAGGGAACCAGTCCTTTTTATAGATATGGCCACAGCCTGTGTCATTCTGACCACAGCATTTAACTAACTTGGACACTAGCAAAATAGCGTGAACTTTGTGATTGTATTTTCTTCAGGCTTGTTCTCAGATTGGTTATGTTAAGCTTTAGAACTGCCCCTTGTTGCTGCCAATCAGCAGCTATGATGAATATCGATATTTTTTTCTTTAAATGAGATTTTTTTCCCTTGAGATTCAACTCAGTGAAAAATTCAAATTCTTAATAATATATGGGATCTTTTGTCATGTAGATTTCTGTGATTTCTAAATTGAGATTACAAATTTATTGGGAATTAAGTGAGACTATAATCTTCTGGTGATCTTTCTACCATCTTGATATCTTTATACTCTTGTAGGATTTATTAAGTAGAATTTCATAACCTTGTGCTTTTTTGACCATTATTAGTAGTCGATCAGAAAGTACAATCTTCTGACCTAAAGGCATGGTGAACATTTCTTTTACTGTCCTTTCTTTAAATTTTTATGCCTTTTCACATAAAAACAAGCAAAACACTGGGTATTCAGCAAAAATATCCCCTTTAAAAATATATTTTAAAATCCAGTTTCAGTGCTCCAGAAGATTCATTACTCAAGAATACATACACACGCACACACACTCCAGTATGTGTGTGTGTGTGTGTGTGTGTTCATGCTCCAATTTCTACTTCCTATAGAGGGAATCAACAAAGGATATCAGAAGGTATGACTCAGTTATACATTAATGAATTCTACCTTGCACTATCCACTTTCTTTCATAGCCCTCTCTAACACTGACCCAGGATGTAAACACATGACTTTGTTTGGCCAATGGGGCATTAGCAAATGTCATAGAAGTAGAAATTTGTTAAGCACAATGGGACTTGCCAGTGTGTTTTACTTGTATTATAGTCACCATCATATAAAGAAACTCAGACTTGCCTTCTTAAAGAGAAGGCTACAAACAGATACACAACTATTCCAACTGAGTTGAATCTATCTGACTAAACCTATCTGAGAAAGTTTGAGCAACATCAGCAGAATAACCATGCAATCAATCCACAGAACTGTGAGAAATAATAAATGATTGTTTTTCTTAAGCCATGCATCAACAGGTAACTGATATCCAGAGAATCTTGTAAAACTCTACCCTCTCTTCACTGAGGTCTTATCTCTGAAATTAGAGACTGCCTGTAAACTGGGATATAATGTGAAAATACATAGTTTTAGGATGAAGCACTCTTCTTAGGCCTCAAAAATTTACTGTTCCCTTCTCTATCATCATCCAAATCCAGCCCTTGTCACCTTTTAATAGCCTCTGGATAATGGTTCCTCCACCCTGAATCTCAGGTCCAGGGTTTCCAGAGTCAATAGTAGGTCCCAGTGATGGCACATCTGATGCCATTTCTGGGTTAGAAGTAGTTGCTGCCATGGCCTAGATGCAACTGCCATCTTGCCACCTCCTTCCCCCAATGGGAGGAGCCACCATCACGGAGCCATGGAACCCAAGACGGCAGACATGCCACCCCCCATGGTGAACATTTTTTTTATGAGTTTATGTGGTGTCCTGTGAAGGAAACAAAACAATCTTGAATGGGACAAGTGATGAGTCTAAAATAAGTATATATGAAAAACAGTGTAGCTGAGCATTGACAGCTCACACTGGTAATCCTAGCTACTTAGAAGGTTTAGATCTGAGAACTGTGGTTTGAAACCATCCTGGGCAGGAAAGTCAGTGCGATTCTTACCTTCAATTAAGCACTATGTTAGAGAGCTAGTGTGAGCAAAAAAATACTCAGAACCCACACCCTGAGTTCAAGCCCTAGGACAACACATACACACACACACTCTCTCTCTCTCTCTCTCTCTCTCTAGACTGGGAAAGATACTAAAAGAAATTTGAGAGGAGTTCCAAATGTGCTTAAGTAACAGAGGCAGATAGCTGTTTGTGTTTTCACTGTGAAGATTCCTTGGTAGTTTTCCTCCCACACATTGCCAAGTAGGAAACATGGCCTCAGAAATGGGAACTTCCATTCCATGTTGGACAATGATTTCTCTCAACTCTGGAAACAAAATCCCTTTTACACTCTTGATTTTCAAACCTTAGGGTTTTCCACATGGGTGTTTTGAGAAAGACTGAAAATGTTTTTGCTCTTTATACTAAAGAAGTATGCAAACAAATACCATCTGAGAAGAGCAGTGAATGAGATGGAAATTGCTGTCCAAAATGTCTCTATATGCTCCTGAATTCCTATACACCTTACCTTAAGAAAAACACGCATATATGTGCATGTATGCACATGTGTGCACACACAAACACACCTCTATCTGTTCTTGAGGAACAAGAAAGTCTATAAAAGCCTAAGTTTCTTAATAGGTTTTACTTTCTTGTCTTTATTGTATTCTCAGCACAGTCTGATTGTTAGGGCTGCAGATACATTGCATACTGAGGAATAACTGTGGTGCATATTGACAGCAGGAGATTTGGATAAACTAGAATTCTTATAGCTCCCAACACTATGTATCATATTTGTAGAAAAAATAATACAGAGTGGACAGCCTATAGAAATTGATCTTTTTCTATTTAGGTACTGGTTTGCCACTTTTGAAGCAGGAAAATGCTTATTTGTACTAAAATATTTGACTGATAAAATATGCTGTCTTTTAGCAGGTGGTACTAATGAAGTTTCTGATTAGTACCTGTGGTTACTTTATCTGAATCTCTAAATACATTGCTCATAGATGCTGATATGTGAGGCTTCAGGCAGTGCTGTCCTGTTTTGACTGACATTTCCTCCTTCCAGTGTTTCGTTGCCTTGAACTCATCATTACTTGAGTGGTGGTAGCTCCTACATGCATTATGTTTTTGCTTTCAGGATTAGGGAAATCCTGAAGGCATCTCGAAAACTGCAAGGTAATCCAGATCTGCCGATGTCGTTTACCTTGGCCATAGTGGAGTCTGACTCAACAATAGTCTATTACAAGCTCACGGATGGATTTATGCTGCCAGACCCACAGGTCAGTTGAGGTAACTGAGAGTCAACAGTGAACACAGAGAAAAGTACGACATGATTCTAAGCTATTTGTACAATGACTGCTCCTTTTGCCATTGAAAAACTCGGCAGAAAAGCGTCTATTTTTATACTTCAGAAAACTGGCTGTTTTTTTTTTGCAAAGTAACATCTCCCTAGGTATTTTTGCAAAAATAATTTCATTCTCTTTCTCTGGAGAATGTCATAGTTTTCCAGAATATTTTGTGAAGTCACCATTTATTTAATTATGTAGTGAGTAACTGAAGTAGAATGTAAAGGCCAATAGTAGTTTTAATCTAAAGAACACTTCTTAAGAAAATCTGTTAACTGGTTGACATTTTTACAGGAACATTTTAATAAAATATATCATGCATGACATCTTTACACACTTTCTTGGCATAATTGGGATAATTAAATATCTTTCTGATTTTTCTCTTAAGTTACATTCTCTAATAGGGAAAACGTGCATCCTGATCCTTTTTCTTTATGTTGCAGAATATTTCCCTGAGAAGATGACATCTTTGCTTGTCAATGCCTTGTGCTCACAAAAGATTGGATTTGAGACCCATCAGCCTGCTCTAGTTTTTATCTCAAGATAATCAGGGTAAATATAGCTTGTCCATCTCATACGTTTTCTTTCTGGAAAAAATTCTCCCAGATAAAAGAATCTGTATTGTCAGAAACAAAGAGTAGTTGCGGTAGAGTGTTCTTACTGGGGATAGTCTGCATTTGTATGCAAGATATGGCAGATTGTATCAAGAGGAGACAATTCATGTGCTGCCTCTGTCATCACATGCATAGCTGACCCCGTGAGCTTATTGAAGTTGCCTCCTCTTTCCTTTCTTCAGCCCTTCCTTGCCTTTTAATCATTTCAGCCAGCTTGGATTGGCACTTACATGGCTTTAGACACCTGAAGAATTTACTGGTATCTGCTTTCATTCTCAGTAGACACTGAAGGATAATCTCTGTTTGAATCTTTTTTCTGTTGCACTTTCCTCTTCAATTGACCTTAGATCAGAACTGAAAATACACTCCTCAAGAGTGTAAATGTACATGCATGGATTAGTCAGGACTTCTGATTGCTACCTACAGGAACACTGGGATTTTGTCCCACCACCCTTATTATATCATAGCTACTCTACTGCACGAGATAGAGAAGAGAGTGTCAGCCCTAAAAACGTCTTTATTAACTAGACCCAGTCATTCCATTTTTCTTAATCCTCCAATTACGTTGTACAAAGTATGAAAATTATATGCTCAAACATTCTCCAACTAGCATTACTTTTAATAGTCCAAATTGTGAGCCACTTCAAAGATTAGGTCAGGAATTTACACGCTTCCTTAAAGGGCCTTGCAAGCCAGACTATCTGTCCTAATTGCCCAACATTGCTGTTTGTAGCATGAAAACATCCATAGACAATGTCAACAATGAGTCAGGCCGTGCTATAGTAAATTAAAGCTTTATTTACACATGTGGGTCATCACTTACCATCTCCTACTCTAAGTAGTTAATAAACCCATCTCTGGGTAGTACCTTGAATAGTCATTAAAAATGAGGAGTGTATATTATGACAAACATGAGAAAATGTTACAGTGAAAACACTGCAAACTATGAAACTGTGAGTGAATGTGAACATGGCTGCAAATAGCCCCAGCATGTAACAAGAGGATGATAAAGCAAGATTATTACCTGTGGTTGTAGTAGCAAGTGTGGCAGGGTAAATGAACAGGTGGCTTTCCTTCTCCAACATTTCAGTGTTTATTTGTATTACTTTTCTAATAAAATGTTACAAAATAAAAAGTGTCCTGAACTCTGTATCCATAGCTGTCATTGCCTAGTGAGATTCACAGCTTACAACAGCACACACTTAGGATTGCAGTCTGGAGGGTAAATGAGGTGGGCATAGGTTAGTAAGCTGCCTCTGAGCTGTTGACAGAGCCATGGCCTCATTGAAGCTTGGCTGGGGGATGAAAGGTTTGCTGCCTCTCTTGTGTGCTGCTAGCAGTCTTCTATCCTTTGTAATGCTCTCTTTTCCCAGAGGTGTGATAGAAGGCCATCCTTGGCTTCTTGCCACATGGGTCTTCCCAGTATAACTCTGCTTTCTCCAAGCCATTAAGGATTAGTTTGGGGAGGATCACCTTGTCATCTAATGTAACAAAGTCATATGTATCACGTCACCTTTGCCACCTGCCATGGGCTTAGAGGTCACAGGTCCCACTTATATTTTAAGGAACAATAAAGAATGTATGAAACAGACCTTAGGAATATTACAGAGTAGAATAGAGCATAATTTCTGGTGTGTAGTTATTCCTGGATTCTTGGATATTTGAATTTCACTTCTATTCTTGCTGAAGGTGTCTACCACTCCTTCAGATTACCTTTGCCTTCTGGGAAGGCCTGAAGAGCCACCTATTCAGGCCATGTGCTCTGTGACTCTGTGTCAATTTTCAGATTTGCACATTCTTTTTTTTCTACATCAGTTTTATTAAAACACAAATAACTATTTTTCTTTCTGTAGTGGCAAATGGTTCAAATAATGCTGGACATGAATTATTGACCAATACAAGGCCTTTAAATATAGAATCAAAAATTAACTTTCAAAAAGTTAAAGATAAGGTTATATACAGACAAGACCTGGAATCTATATGCTGTTTCCAAAACTGCCATGCATCTGTGAACTCTGCGGTGAAATGAGAGCATTCCACCCCTGCTGTGGAGAAGGGCTGTCACACAACATTCAGTCAGCTGAAGATGGACTGGTAGAGATGTGTCTATACATATATTTCAAGTCATTTTTGCTTGTGCAGAATCATCCAGCTCTTCCCAAGATTGAATGAGCAGTCTTGTGGTTTTCTTCCTTTTCCATAATCCCAACAAGGCTACAATGAAGTTCTTAAATAGCATGTGATAAATTCTTAAGCTCGCTTGAGTCCTTTAGGGTTTCTGTGATTCTGTTTGAGGACTTTTAACACAGTACTACAAAAACAGCTGCTTAATGACTATCAGATTTCCATGTCCAGAAATAGGGTGACTACAGGCCTCTGGTTACCTACAAGACCAGAGTGTCTTGGGGATGACTGTGAAAGTCCCTTTCTCTAATATGTAAAGCCAGGATTCAACCTCACTGTACCTCTTGGGGTGCTTACTCTAATTCTAATTCAGAATGTTCCCTGTATACTTAGTCAGTGTTGTTGTGTCCACAGCCAGCCAGATACCTGCTAACATACATAATGATACAACACAGTGTGTAAGTAGAGGCATGCCAGTTGTGTCTGTCTCATTTTAAGTGAAAAACTAGGCAAAAAGGTTTTGTTTAATTAATTTTCTAACTGAGTACATTTGTCTGTCTTACTAAACTATGAGCTCCTTAACAAACAAGAAGCCATGTCTGTCCCAACACTTTCTGAGTTAACTGGTACATAATAGACTTTCAATAAATATTTGGAGAACTAATGGATGTTAATTATAGACTTGCCTGATACAGTTTTGCCTCAAGACAAGCCCAAATGATCCACTTGAACACCAGAGGGCGCTGTGAGATAAGCACATTTTTAAATTCTAGGAATCTACAATTAATTTGAGATTAACTAGAGAAGTGCTCTGAAAATTTATTTTCAATCTGTAGGAAGTCGCATAAATAAAAATATAACTTAGTTTTATGTGCCGACACCCCCTCTTTTGGCAGGCCTCTAAAATTACCTTCTACTGGCATTAAATACATGACTTGATTCAGGCTTTGCTGGAAATGTAGATCTATATTTAAAAATAAAAGCCTTCGGGGGAGTGTGGATTTTTTTTTATAGACTATGGTTTTGTACAGATCTCTGTGAAAGTATGCATTGTAATTTCTTGCAAAAGCTTGAATCTCAGGATCAATCACATAGAGTCCTCAGCTCTGAAGCATTCTCTTTACTAGCTAGATCCCCCTGGTAACGGAGGGAAGCTGCTGCTGCAGTATTCAAGCCCTCTTGCAAAAGGGGTGTGCTATCTATCTGGGGAGAGGCTTAGGGAGGGGCTTGCCAGGGTTCTCTATGTTGCCATCTTTGCTGTTCTTTTCTGGAGCCCCTGGTCAGCATTCCTCCTGTTGGGAAGGCCCAGGAAGCAGGGTCACTATGTCCAATGGCTCCAGATTAACCTACCTCTCCTCCCTGAACCTCATTAGAAGTTTCTAAACTCCATACATCTGTAAAGAATAGGAGAGAAGAGGCATTTCAGAATTCTGAGTTGCAATTAGAAATATAAAAGGATAACCTCTGAGGTTTACATAAGCTGCATTCTTTTTCTTTCTCTTCCTTTCCTTCTTCTCCTTTCTTCCCTTCCCTCCCCTTCCTGCCTCCCTCCCATCTTTCTTTCTTTGTTTCATAAGCCTGAATCAAAACTTGGTGGTGGTTCATCTCATTCAGAGCATTTTGATCTCAGTCCCCGGCTGAGGTTACTTTTTCTATTGTAGCCCCTAGCAAGAGGTTTCTTCACAAAGATCTCTCAGTGGTTCCTGCCAAAGGAATAGATCTTCTGCATAGAAGCTCCAGATACATCAGCCACATTTTACTTTGACTGTGTATGGTGTATTGTGTCCTCCTTTGAGGCCCTAGGAATGTAACCGCCTCTCCTTCCTGGCTGGTACGGCTTGCATTCCTTCCCACCACTGCCCTGGTCGCCCAGTCCTTTTCATCTTCTCTCAGTAAGAACTGCTGTGCCCACTAATGGTAGAAGTACTATATATGATTCTGAAAAATGTGTCCAAAATAAATGTAAGCAAAATCAGACTGTTGTTTTTGGTTTTAGGATTACTGAGTAGAGGTATAAGATACACTTCTTCCTTTCATTTTCTTCAGACATTCACTGCTATATTAATTAGCTCAGGTAGCAGTATGGAATTACTATGGTGGTTTAAAGGGCAGAAACTTACTGCTCACAGTTCTGGGGTGGGAAGTTCCAGGTACTGATTGGTCCCATGATTCGGGTTCTTTCCCTGGCTTGCCAGTATCACCTTCTACTTGTGTCTTCTCTTGGTCTTTCCTCAGTGTTGCCAGAGAGTGCCATTGAGACCCTTCCTCTTCTAATATGACACTCACCCTACCCATACTAGCTCATTTAACCCCAATATTTCCTCCAATACCCAGCCTTCAAATTCAGTCACATTGGGTCAGTGTTACATGGACAAAGAGCATGCCATTGAGACCCTTCCTCTTTTTTTTTTTTATGACACCCTGCCCAAAGCAGCTCATTTAACCCCAATACTTCATCTAATACCCTGTCTTCAAATCCAGTCACATTGTGTGTTAGGGCTTCACCACATAAATTAGGGGTGAGGAGACAATACCATCCATTATAACTGGATTCCTTGTATGTGCTGAAATATGGCTAAGTTCTGGGGAAACAAATGTTAATAAGATGGGACTCTTTCCCTCAAGGAACTCAGTCACTATTACTCTCCTTTGTTAGAACTCCAGAAGCACGTTCATAGTGCACGAATGGAGGAATACTTGTCATGGAGTGCAAAGTTTACACACTTTAGGCAATTTGCTTAAGGATGAAGAGTATCAAGAATTTTGGATAAAGTTTTCAAACAATCATTGTATGTGTATTATTTGTCCTAAAGGACTCCACCAACATTGGAACAGATAACAGCAAAATTGCATTGTACACCTCTCCATGAGCATATTATCTAGCTAGGATAAATATTTTTGTTTTTTTGTAGTATTGGGGATCAAACTTAGAGCCTTATGCATGCTAGATAAGCATTCTCCCAGTGATCTGCATCCCCAACTGTACTGTCTGGCTAGAAAACAGAAGATATACATATGAAATATTTTGAGAACAAGGCAGTATGGTCCATAATGCTGAATTATAACTATGTTGTATTTTATTTGTGTTTCTCTACCCTTTATCTTGATCCTTGCAATGGAGCTGATCTTATTATTATTATCTTGTCCTCAGAAGATGGAGGGGTTACAACACTGAGTGGCTGAGTGATGGTTCTGTGGTAGGAAGTGAGGATAATGAAGATAAGAGCCAGGTCTCCTGACACCTTGCTCATGGTGCTCTTTTCACAGCACCATATTCCCTCTTTCTTGTTTGATACAGAGACATATGTTAATGGGTGTAAAAGTCTTTGGAAGGAAAGAAGATGAGTCCTAGAGGGAGGCAGGAAGTGGTTTAGGGATCAGTTATTTTATCCTCTTATACTCTTGGACAAATGTATCAAAATGTCAAGCTATTTGGATGGACAACTCTAAAAACCATATTCATAAGCAATATATTTGCAGAATTTTATTTCAGAGGATAAAGACATTTGTGTCTTTATGTGGACAAATCTAATAGTATTTAATAAGTGAGCAAAAGCTCAGAAAGCAAAAGCTTCACTTATTTTAATTAAATTTGTGTTGGCTTGAAGAGTTAACTCTGGGAACCTATAAATGATCATTTTACCTTATGGTCTCCCCCCACTCCCTTTTGTTGGTCATGGGGCTTGAACTCAGGGCCTAAGGCGCTGTTCCTGAGCTCTTTTGCTAAAGGCTAGCACTTTACCACCCTGAGCCACAGAACCACTTCCAGTTTTCTGGTGCTTAATTGGAAAAAAGAGTCTCATGGACTTTGCTGCCTAGGCTGGCTTTGTACTGTGATCCTCAGATCTCAGCCTTCTAGGTATCTAGGATTACAAGCATGAGCCAGTAAAGAATGAATGGACTTATGCCCCAAATATCCGCCAGCTTTTTTGATAATGCTTGAAATCCTGCCTTAATTCTAATTCTGTCTCAAAGATGTGATTCAATTTCATTTGACAAACCATTCTGTAC